TCCCCCACCGCCTTTTTTTTTCCTTTTTTTTCCTATCTAGGTTCTGTTCTGCCTCTGCGACCCGGCTATTGCGATCCCTTCAAGAGAAGCGCGGCCAAGCGTGCTGTTGTTTATCGCCACCCTCCCCTTCTGTGTACCTCTGTTTGTGTATGTGTGTGTATACACACACACATGTAACGCTGGAGCAATAAGATTTGTTTTTCAAAAAGGTCACTTGGAAGTCAAGGGTTTTTCTATTTTTTATTTTTTTTACAATGCAGCGTTGTATGCAATGCAATGGAACCAGGCAGCGTTGATGTTCTGCACTTTTTTAAAAAAGTAAGAGGGTCAGAAAATGTTCCTGGCCAAAATTAGGGAATATCAGTCATATTGAATGTGGTTATATCCAGATAAACCCGAGTACTGTATGTAGGCTTACAATTTCAAATAAGACTGAAAGGGTAACAAAACTAGGTGCAAAAAAGGCTTCTGATTCATCATTGATTTCAGGGAGAAGCACTTTTAAAAATGGGCAAGCCACAGTTTTCCCTGTAGCATAGTGCTAACAGGATTTTGAGCACTGATCATAAGGCTGCAAGTCTCAGAAATAAGTACTTCAATTCTGAGGAAACAATGAAAGGAGTTATCTTGTTCTTTTCCTGCCTGTATTATTTCCCCTACTGATCCATATGTCCTATTTGATCTCAGTTCCAGTTATAGTCATTAACTGCATATTATCCTCAGCTTGTCTCCAGCCAAAGGCAACTGACTGTCTTATCTTATTGTAAGAGCAGTGCTTTCCTATTTCTGCTGCCCCAAGGAGTACTCTGTAGCCTGCTGTTCTTCATTTCTTTAAGGTAAAGGTTTCTTATTTCAATTGAATATTATGCAGTGTGGCAGAACTACCTACATTTCTCTTCCAGTCATTGATTTCTGCCCACCATGATCATTTCATCTTGGGCTACTGGGCTGCTTCTTCCTTTTTAAACAGGGCTGATCTTTTCCACAGACCAATGAAATTCTGGACCTTTTTCCTTTTCTGTTTATCCATAGAATGCTAAAAAGTTAGCCATTTTTTTAACCAAGTGCAATTCACAAATGTTCTTCCAATATCTCCTTTTATACCAAGTAATGGAAACAAAGTAAATCCACCTTCCCCTTTCTGGTATATCAGAAGATGCTTCAAATGGAAAGATGTCAAATAAGTCAATAGATGGCGACTCCTACAATAGCTCCATCAATAAAATTAAATGCCTTCAAAGACACAGACAAAAACACCGCTGGTATTTACTTTCCTATATGAGTGGAAAGTAAGAAACAGAGGATTCCATCAATCAGAGATCATGGTAACTGTTTTCAGAAAATTGCCCAGCATCATTGCCAGAACTAAAGAATTACTGAAATCTGGATAGTGCTTTTCTTAAGTAAGCTTCATTTTCAGTGGAAAATGAATTATTTTGTGTGTCAAAATAATCAAGATGGTGAATACAACTGAATGCAATGAAAGCCACATCCCTTTTTAAGATGTATTGCACACATCACACAAACATAAAAGGAAAGGAGCTTCAATTGTGTGACAGTAGTTTCCATCTTAACTTTTTTGACCTTTCCATGGATGCTCCTGATTTCCATTTAACCCTAAGGAAAAAAGATTATATAGAACAGCCCCATTAATTTTGCACAGATTGGTTACTGATGGTTGTCTTGTTGGCAGATGCTGTTCAATCTTTATTCACAATTTATAACCTAAAAATCTTTCTTTATTCAGTATTAAGATTATTTGTATGCAGTAAGATATTCCATTTTCTCACCACCGTCTTCTTTTTTTTCATTTTATTAATATTTTAGTTTAATTAAACTTTAAAGTTGAACATCCTTTCACTTTGATCTTTTAATTGCACTTTAAAAAGATATTGCTGTAGTGTAAAATTTTCTGCTGGATCATCATAGTTATCTTCATTTTTATAGTAAGTAATGAAGATGTGATATCATTAAGCAAAATTAGGTGGCATCTTCAGATTGTAGATTTTTGTTGCCATTTAAATAGACCTATTAAAAATCATATATTATTGGTGCAATTGCTGTTTGCGTTTTTAAACTGTTCTGGAGATAGGGAAATCATGCTTTAGCGCAGGGGTTTCCAAACCTTTTGCAAGTAGGGCCAGATTTGGTGAGGTGAAAATGTGTGGGGCCGACCATTCAGCCTGACATTCTTTGAACCATTAANTTGTCCTTGAATTACAATTGAGGCCAACATTTATGTTGCTACGTGAAAATATTTGTTAAGTGACTTTGCCCTATTTGACGACTTTTCTTGCCACAGTTGCTAAGTGAATTATTGCATTTATTAAGTTAGTAACATGGTTAAGTGAACCTGGATTCCCCATTGCCTTTGCTTGTCAAAAGGTTGCAAAAGGTATCACATGATCCTGGGATTCTGCAACCATCATAAATACGAACCACTTGCCAAACATCTGAATTTTCATCATGTAAATCATAGGGATGCTGCAAAGGTCGTAAGTGTCAAAAACAATCATAAGGCACTTTTTTTCAGTGAATGGTTACTAAATGAACAGTTGTAAGTTGAGGACTACCTGTATACTGTACTTTATCTGCAGGATGGGCAAAACAGCATGACTGTTGCTTATGTGTGGAATTATGCAGTTAACATATACTTGTTGTACCCCTGCAGTTTCTTCACTATAACAATATTCTACATGTTTGAAACTTACCTGGTGATTTGTTTTTTCGGTTATTGCTTCAGAATATACAAATACTGTACCGTGGAATTCTATGATTCAGGCTAGTGTATATATCTCAATAAGAGGGCTGTTTCTGACAGTGAGGCATTAAATTAATTCCCTATCCTATCCTCAATTTCTGAGAATGGCTAATTCTTCTTGCTAATGTTTCACATAAGCAAATGACAAGAAGTAAAGCAATTCCTGAATTCTTTCCAGAACCTGTACTAGCAGTGGCCATGCTGTATTTCCTTCTGAATTGTAATGTAACATGTTACATATGCATGTCTCCTCTTTCATGTTGCACCTGTACATGTGAGTATTGGGAGTATTAGATAAGCTGAATGTACAGGTTTATATCATAGGACAAGGGGAGGTGGTAACATTTTAAGAAACCTTTCAGCTTCTTTTCCCATAGCAATGCTCGGGAAGGATTATTTCAGGGTCTTCTTCAGCAGCTCTAGGATGGATCTGGACTATTATCAAAGTAGATCTTTACCTTGCTGACTCTCTTCCAAATACCAGTTAAGGACCTATTTTATTTTGTTTTTGAGCAGTTAACCCTAGTCGATAAGACAAAATTTCAAACCCCTTTCTGCTGAGTTAAAAACTGTAAAAATGAAAAGTGATAAAT